ATGTTAAGGGCAAAGTCTTCACTCAGAGGGCAGTGAGGCCCTGGCACTGCCCACAGCTCTAGATGCCCCATCCCTGGAGGTGCCTGAGGCTGTGGATGGGCCCTGGGCAGCCCGAGCTGGGGGGCACCCAGCCCATGGCAGGGGTGGCTTTGAGGTCCCTTCCAACCCATCCATTCTGTAACTCTATGACTTCAGGATTTCACCTTTTACACTGCAACCATTCGATGCACGGTCAACAAAACAAGATACTCACATAACACAGTTACTGTGCTGCAAAAAGCCTCTGGGATGCAGATCACCACCCAGCTGCCCTATGCACAGGGAGGGCTCACTGAACTGCTATCCTACAGCACCACTTCAGCATAAACACAAACCTCTTCATCCTCAGCTGCCTGACTAGCAATAGATAGCACATGCTGGAAAAGGACAGAGGTGCAGGGCAGGACGTCTCACAGGAGGTGCAGGCAGGTGCTGATCCTGTTGTTTTATGCAAAGGGTCGAGCAGAAAGGCATAAGTACACAAACACTTGTTTGCATCTTCAAATTAAACATCTGGATTATATTCATCCTTATAAAATGCCTCAAGTTGAGACAAACCCCAAACAAACCAGGCACAGCCCTTCACGCCCTCCTCCCGGCAGCAAACAGCTTGTGGTTTTTAATTTGTAGGAAGTGTTTCCTAATTGCTGCCAAATAAAACTGTGCTGCTCCTTCTACTTTTTTTAAACACCTCAGCTCCAAAAACCACCTTCATGTTGTGCCAGTGCCTGAGAAAATTCTCCTCCTACAATTTGTCAATTGCAAAAGGTAGTAACAGTAGTTAAGCCAAACAGGGTAACAGCTGGAAAGGAAAAAAAAAAAAAGCATTAAAAAATAGGATTTAAGCAAAAGGAACCAGTCCCTTTGGTTCCTAATTTGTGATAGGGAGTATTTCTGCAACAAGAGAAATCAGCCCATCCACAAACAAGGGACCAAAACCAACTTGCAAAGATACCCAACCACTGATAGGAAGACAAGAGGCAGAACGAGCCTGCTGCTAACAACGGCTCAGCAGCCAGCATTCCATGGGGACTTGATGCTCCTAAATCCACCAGCTGAAAGAGCATAAATATATGAAACTACCTGAACAATTCCACCTCGACTAGGTCCCAAGGCACCGCTTTTTTTTTCTCCCCTCACAAAGAAGATTGCCCCCAGCAGATGCAATTTAGCACTCTTCTGTCACCTAAGGATCACAGAACGGCCAGGCTGGAAGGGACCTCAAGGATCACGAAGCTCCAACCCCCCTGTGCCATGCAGGGCCACCAACCTCCACATTTCACAGCAGCCCAGGCTGCCCAGGGCCCCATCCAACCTGGCCTTGAACACCTCCAGGGATGGACGGGGCATCACAGCCTCTCTGGGCAGCTGTTCCAGCACCTCACCACTCTCACAGCACACAACTTCCCCCTGACATCCAACCTCCATCTGCCCTCCTTAAACAAATAGGATACAAACCTGCCTAAATGCATAGAGAATAACATTCAAGAAACAGATCCTCAACTTCTTCACATATTAAAGCAAGAACTGAAGTATTCCATTTTTTCATTCACCGTCTGTCAGCAGCCAGCTGCACTGCACAGAACTACGTGGCTTTAGGAGTTCTGATCAAAAATGACCTTAAAACTTGCTGTATGCACAAGGAATGAGAGTCAAGCTCTTCAAAGCACTTAAAATGCAAGCAGCACAGAAACCCTACGAGCACTGGTAACTGCACTGACCTGTCAGCCAGCTACATTTCTTGTTGCATTTCCAAATTAACATTTCCCACACCTCAGCATACATAACAACCACCAACACATTTGTTTTTCAACCCTGCTTCTCTGCTCCAATTAAGCGCTCATTTAAAAATAACTCAAAGAAAGCCTTCCAAATAGGAAATGGAATGCTACCCTGACCTTGCAGCACTGATTGCTGTGGTGAAGCTTGGAAGTTCAGTGTGCTCTGAGAGCAGATGTTTGGCAGGAAAGTTTCTAAAGCTCAGCTGCAGTCACAAAAGATGCTGCCTCAGGTTGTACCTAATCTGGTTGACAGGCACAGAACCACAGAACGGCCTGGGTTGGAAGGGATCTCAAGGATCACGAAGCTCCAACCCCCCTGTGCCATGCAGGGCCACCAACCTCCACATTTCACAGCAGCCCAGGCTGCCCAGGGCCCCATCCAACCTGGCCTTCAATACCTCCAGGGATGGACTCAGTTGGGTGCCCTCTGGACCCTCTCCAACAGCTCCCTGTCTTTCCTGGGGGCTCCAGACCTGCACACAGCACTGCTGATGGGGAGTGTTCCAACACAGCTCCAACTCGATTCAGAATTAACTTAGAGACTAATTAATAATATACAGCTGCAATGCTTTCTAAATGCAAAGTACCAACCTGTTTCTTTAATGCACAGTGGGTTTTCAGTGGTACAGCTTCCAGCTATCCCATCAATAACAGCAATGCTTTTGTTACCAGAGTGCAAGATGTAAACAGTGCAATATGCCATGAATTTCTAACACATCCTGGTTTAAAGATCCTTCCCCCCGTGTCTGTATCAGAGCACTGCATCTTTCAGGCAGGGTTTCCCAGCTGGCAGCACCTCCAGCACAGCCTGCAGCAGCCAGAACGATGAGACCACTTTGTTTTGACTCACTGATACTGCACGTTCAGAAAAGAAATGCATCTTACAGTGGGATTGCTTCTTGCTAGAGAGTGGCTACAGCAGACAAGGAATGTACCGAGAAGGAGAAAAGACACCTATAAGCAATTGCACATTTTAACAAGCAGCCACCGGGGCTGAAGATTTATTTTCTCTGGTTAGAAAGAAAGCTCACAGGATGGCAACCCTGCTATGTTGGGTTTTTTGACCCAAACGTACAGAAGTGGTTAGCACTGTCAGGAGCAGCATTAGTTCTCTGACTTTTACATCTTATTTCACAACCGAAGACGCCATTTAGATTTAATGAGACCCCGTTGGGGTCAAACTGCCACAGAGCCCCACCTCTCTGCATGGTGGTTCGTTCCAGGGTGACGTGGGGAGCTTTAACCACGGGCACCCAACTGAGCACGGCACTGCACCCACTGCCTGACCACAGCACTGCTTCGGGTCAGAAGGGGCCCCAAATCATTGCTGTAAGCTGCCTGTAACCTCAGGCACCTCCAGCGATGTGGCACCCACAGAATGACAGAACGGCCCAGGTTGGAAGGGACCTCAAGGATCACGAAGCTCCAACCCCCCTGTGCC